CTCTTCATCGAGATTTAAGCTCCCGCCGATAATCGATGAAGAGTTTTCACTTCTGGAGAGCACCTCAGTTCATCGAAGATACGAGTTGGTGGCGTGGTTAGCTTAGAAGCAAGACGTGCTAATTGTGACTACCAGCTTTCCCTCAGAGATACTTGATTCAGACCAAGTGACCATCATTGTAGCCAGTTCTTGGCGTCCGATCTCTGTGACAGGGATCAGTACCCAGCCGGCGATCATTTCATGATTTCCCGAAGATATCTAAGACGTGATCTCCTCCTCTGTCAGTCGTAGAGATTCCCGGACCACTGAATTCAAAGACTTCATCTTCAAAAAGCATTAGTTGTAGCTGGAACACCATAATCACAGCACTAGGTGACATTAGGAACTCAGTGTGTGTCGTTTTGACACAATCATTCAGCTGGACCGCTGGACTTCACAGCAACCGCTGTCATTAGTTGATTCAGGACGCTGTCCGTCATGAGGAGACTGGACCTTACCGTGGTGTGACGGTTCGCGCACCTCAGCGATCCATTGAGCTATACTGGGGAGTGTCCCCTTGACACCCACAGAGTACCAGGTTGGTCAGTGGTTAGAGCTTTGGCAAACACTGTGTCCTGGCCCCCAGGTTGGGGGGTTAGAACATGTGGCAACCTGTTCCGTAGAAATGGGAATGCATTTGCATTTCCCACCAAACGGTGCTGCTTGCGGTAAAGGCTTTTGAGCCAAAGGCTTTGGTTAAGGACCCTAATCGTCCTCCTGTCTAGGTGTGGGCGCCCTGACAGTATGCCAGCCCTCGTACAACCATAACACGCAACTAATATGGCAGTCAGACATCGGTGTTGAACACTGATGTTATGACGTCAATGATGATGATCAGGACGCCCTTCAGACTCAGAGCACAATTCTGTTATAAGTTATTTCAGACGAAACCTGTTTGTGTGGGTACATAAGCGTTGTGGAACCATATAGTTTTGAGAATTGAAGGCCAGTGCAGCGGGAAGTGGAAAGCTCAAGAGACCTGAGAATTTATATTCTCGCAGATTGTCCACCTTCAAATACCATCCATTCACAGGATCAGCTGACGCTGGATTTTGGTGTTCTTCCTTGAATGGCCTGTGTGAACACACTGCTCCTAACATTTAGTCCCTTTCGAGCCTGTCAGATACACGCCTAGATTCTAGTTCCCGTCAGTCTCACGTTCTATGTGAACCCAAATCGTACGCGAAACACATCCGTTTGCAAATCCGTTTGTTTCACCGAGAGATTCCACTGAGTACCGGCTGAATTCCTCGTTTATGCTATTCTTCAACTGAATCGGCTGCATATAGGTCGCTTTTTTCGATTTCCCGATATCTTTGGCGGAACATTCTCTTCATAAAGTTACCGAAAACGTTGTCGAAGATCAGAGTTCCTGAAGTAGTCCCTTGTTTTTTAGCACACATTCAGACACATGTTCCAGACCGAGAGATCTTACTCCAGAATTCCCAATACCCCTGCATCCCTCCGACACTTTTTGGAGATAAGCCAGAGCTTTCTGACCAGACGGCACATCTGGTCAGCTGCGTGGCGGTGAAGCAACATTGACCGACTTTCTCTATTCACTGACACCAAAAGGCCACGTATACAGTACTCTGCCTCTTTGATTTGAGGGGTTTAAAGGTCCTCAAAGGTTCGTTTATGGTCGCCTTCATTGCATGGCGGATCTGAGCTAATTGTCACCCGTTTTCGCAACGATTTAATGCAAAGTCTAGCACGTGGCGATGAATCTCTGGAGCTGAAGATAAAACTGACCGTAGTTTGCACGTCTATCGAGCACCCAGGAGCGCGCTGTTTACGAAAGGCTCACAGAGAACTCACTTTGGCCTGATTACGCCGCTACTGTCAAGCCAAGTCCTGTGGGGTCGTCGCACATTTCAGGTTAGATTCCAGCTGATTCTTTTCACTTGCGGATCCCTGCAGTACTTGACATTGTAGACAGATTATCACTTGGTGGCCGGACTATCCAGTTGGATTTCTTCTGTGCTATCTTCTGAGATCGTGTTCGGATGTAAGGTCAATCCTGCTGATGGCATCTTACTACGTCCGGCACCATGCTCAGTTCCGTTCATTCGAGTACTGTTGTAGTGAATGGGTACCTTATTCTTGGTCGTTTTCCTTCGCAACATAAGTTTTTCCTCTCTTCATTTTTGTGTACATCCGTACTTACTGCTTTATTATTGGTGGTGTTGGTGATGATACGAGTAAAAATAATTTCAGACGATGGTATCTTGTAACAAAATGGAATTGACAGGTTAATCTGCACTTGCACCTGACTGTTATATGTGCACCGTGTGTGTGTTTGTGAAAATAATCGTTTTTCTCTGCTTGTATCTCACTCACTGAGTTGCAATCATAGCTTGTTTTTACCCTCTAATACTATACACGTGGGGGGGGGCTTGTCGACAGGCGAATCTCCCGTTGTTTTGAGCGTGCTACACCCGAATTTGTTTATTGTCTGTCAGTCTATACACCCAAACTCCTGTCCAATCACCACTGATGGGCCCCATTAATAAGTTGTCACCGTTACTTGGTCAAGCCGGGACTCAAGCTGAAATTGGTTTTCTTACATGCCTATCAGTACACTGATCCCCCCGGGCTTTGTGATAGCTTTCCATGTTGCTCTAGCGAATCAGCTACTTCGTTTCAAATGTTGAATGACCAAGCCGTCTTCGTCCGACATTTACTCACCGGGACCACCATCTTTGTGCTTCTCGTAGTTGTTGTTGTTGTTGCCCTAAAACTTTGTATGTCTGCAACTTGGGCGAGATAGTTCAAGTCGTTGGAGCGCGGATTTCCTGACCGGAAGGTCCGTGGTTCGAACCCGACCTCTGGACTTTCCCTGTCTAGGCTTGGGCAACCTGACATTATCCCAGCCATCGT